TAGCTTGCTTTCTTCTCCGGAGCGAAAGGCGTGTTGTATATCTTCCCGATTGCCGCGAACTGGCTGTAAACCCAGTAAACTACATCAAATCAGCCTTATTTCTCACATATGTGGATGATGATGCGAAAATAAGCAAAATTAATGCCTGTGAAAATTTTGATCAAATCATAAAATTTTGTGAATCAATAGATGAAACGCTATATTTTATCGTAGACCAAATGAATGCTCTGGACGATTGTGATAATACTGGAATTCCCCTAGAGGAAAAGATTCAAGTTAAACGAAACCTCGATAAAATGTGTGCAGACCATTTTTATATCAAGAGTTCTTCAGCAAACAACCAAGCAGTATTGCACCTTAGGCAAAAACAGACTAATGAAAAGAAAATTGAACTTTATGGAGGGTTCGATAAGGTAAGACTAAGATGCCCTACGTTGTGAATTTTCTGTGTATTAATGTAATGTTTAATTTAGGAGGAGATGGAAGAGTGGTGGAAGAAGCATAATTCCGTTTTACCAACAATGAATAATCAGCGGAAGGATCAAATTGAAGACATCACCGACAATATTCCGCTCTTCTTAAACGTTTTGCTGGAATCTAATTGTAAGAATTTTGAAGATGCATTGGGCTACTTAAATCAACAATTAACATCAAAGATACAAGAGCCGATGACAAGCTTTTCAGAGAAGATTTATAAACTAGACAATAAAAGTTGGGATTTGTATGTATTTTTAGTTTGCTTCGTGATTGTAAACTGTATGAAAACTGACTTCTCTATTTAAACAGTCACGTCGACTTGATGTCATCGTTCCTGACAAAAGGATATCCTCCAAGTGGCTACGGAGTTAATGATTTTGATCATCGCTTCTTCTACATCAAAAATCAACTCTGTCATTATGTCTGTGGGATGGCACGGGATTGCATGGCGAAACATCTCTATGAAAAGGGCAAAATGGAAGTATTTACAGATATAAAGTGGATCAGTTGCATAGAGAAATTCAAAAACAACCCATCGGTTAAAGGATTTTTTGTGGAGAAGGCGTGTATTGCTAGTATTTTTAAGAACGGAATTATGGAGAACCGTGTAAACTTTAAGCCTAACGATATGGAATTTTTTAATGATGAAAAAGAAATCCGATTTTCTTCGAATGAAGGGAAATGTATGCTTTACTTACCACATTGTTGGAACCAAGAGGCGATTGATGGATTACTGATTTCGCAAACAAATAATAAGTTGTATATTGCCCCAATACAGATTACCCTTGATAAGAGTAGTCATTCAGATTCTGAGGGAAATTTTTTCTCCAGTATTTGGCCAAATTTAAAATCAAACTTATCAGGCTTCGAGGACAGATTAGAGATAATATTCATATGGATTACAAGCAAAAGTAATACAGACATGAAAATGGAAAGGAAGTCTAGAAAAACACGAAATAGTTCTTTTGAAATTAATCCCGAATACATTCAGGTAGTAATGGGATTATGGGATTTGGGAATGTCAACAGAGATATTGATCGATATTTGTCTTTCATTAGTTTATAGAGAAAAATTTAGTTCTCATTGATAAAACAATAAAAATTTTATTTTATAAGCGAAAATCTTTAATTTTTTCAAAAATCAATTTATAAAATGAATGGAGTAGCGAGTTTCAAGGGAGGAAACATCTCGAGCCCTAACCCGTAAAATGTGAGTTCCTTCCCGCTACACACTATTAACTGTTTTGCTATCGATCCACGAACCGATTTTATCCAAATTGCTACCTCTTAAATCGTTAATTCTACGATAATAATTTTTGATTATATCCTTACTAAGTTTTCCCACCCCAAGATTAAGATCAACCATTACCACATTGGCAAGCTCGGTAGTGATTCGGGCATCACAGTTGCAAAAATTTCATTAAACATGGTATCACGTGCAATATCACGGTGTTAAGTTCGGAATTATGCTTTGCGTCGATGTCTTGCTTACTGAAACGTAAAAATACAACGTGACACCGATAAGCAAGTACATAGAGATTTTCTCAACGAACATCAAAAAGCCGGCGAAGTCCAAAAACGGAGCAATTCCCGAAACAGCAAGTGATGACATCTATAAGCGGAAATTGGTCTATTAGCATATATACACGAGTGTGGGATGTACCACGGCATATAAACAAAAAATGGTTGTCGACATACATTAACGGAAATATCTGCTATATGTTTTTCTGGCTTCGAGAGATGCAATCACGAGAAGGCGGGGATATTGTCTTGAGAGTATGAATTTTTTATTATCGTGGATAGGATTTGTTAAATGCTTTATCCCCTTAATTCGTTAATTAACATCACAAAGAGGGTAAAGGATACATCAAAGAATTTCTCGACCTTTTTATAACTGCGAAGAAAAAAAAAATCAGATCAGAATTTATTTATAGACAGGGGGATAAAGGACTAGAAATTTCCAGAAATTTTACGCCTTACGTGGTTGAAATGTTTTAATTGGATCTATAGATACTTTGTGACTTTGTCGATGACAAGATTTGCGAAGCAAAGCACTACGTGCCTCTTTGCTCTTGTCATATCAACATTAATAATGAAAAATCTGGCGAAATATAATAAGACATAATAAGGACCCAGAATCTAATGACGTTTGTTACTCGTATCACCAACTTCAAATAATAAACCGATCTTCTAACCAACCTGATTAATTTCTTTTTATAACCGCCTTGCCTCCGATCCTCATTCTTGGATTCTAAAGTACACGAATTAACCAGTTTGTGAATGCGAACGAAAGTAATACAACACCAACCGTTCATTCAACTTAGTATAGACCTCTTATCTTTTAGGGAAGGTGTATTTTCTTAACAAAGAAGCTCTGCTCCGATATCAACTCCAAAATTAGAAAATTCATATGGATGATAGCCATGATTCGAAGAAGATCAGAGCTCGAATCCCCGATTCATCGCCTAACGGCCTGCTCCGTAATAAGTATACGATCCTTACCATTGATCTAAACACGTGTTGTTACCCCGGATGGATCGTTACCCCATACCAGATTTCGTCAGTGCGCTTATACATTAGTAAAACTGATATGGTTAAACTTGCCAATCACGTTAACGTTGGCAAAAAGTCTTTATTGATATAAATAAAAACAGTACATGTACATCTGAAGGGGAATCTATCTATTGTAAAACAATGACTCTTTGAGCCTACCAGTTATTTTTTGGTAATTTTTTTGATTCGAACCCTCTTACTGGCTGGGGTATTATCCACACTAGTTCGGTCCTTTAATAACCCAACAATTATCCCGATTACCTTTTTTACACTGCTTCGAAGCACGTCCAGATTTTCTTTGATCGCGGTTTTAGAGGGG